TGACGTTTCGGAAGGGTCTAGGCCCGAAACGTCAGCTTTCCTGCTCCTCTGATGCTGCTTGGCCTGCTGTGCTCATCCAGCTCTACACCTTGTCATCTCACCATACTCTGCATTTCCCAGTTATCCAACTGTCTTCCCAAATGCAGAGGGATCCACCTAAATTTATCATTTTTTTTATTTACAGACAGCTGGTCCACTTGATAACATCATAAGTCGATCCCGTAAGCCCACTCAACAATGCTGTGGTTCCAAAATACAGGTCCATTCAAATGATTATAATGGGTTATGTATGTCATTCTAGACAGGTTGCTGAATTTTAGCATCATGACATCAATAAAATGGGAACATCAACTTTTGAAACAATTGAAAGGTTACTTCAATAGCCAGGATTTCAGAATTTACTGCATTTGATTGTAGGATTATATACTACAATTCAGCATAAGTGACAGGAATTTACAAGAAAATGGTCAGAAAAAGAGCCAGTACATGTCTTCCTGTGATTTGACCGAGTTATAGAACTGCAGTACACTACTCATACTTCAATCTGGTAAAATGTTAGAATTTTATTTTAATATGAAGCTTAATTGAAAAAAGTTCATTTCCTGAAACATTCTCTCCTGTTGACCTGCAAACAGTGTGCAAATATCAGCTACTTTTGTTTGAAAAGCATTCACTTCTCACCAAAATGTGCAAAGATAAAGCAATTTCTTGAAGAATCACAAAGCACAAGAAGGTTGAGGTTCATCTGGTGCCTTTCCCTGTGTTGCTTCGTATTAACATGTTCTTTAACTGTGGGACTAAAGTTCAGTATCAAAATACTAGATGTTTCAAGTTTTTGTTTTTCCCTTCTGACTGCGTGTTGAATAATTCAACAGGTCTCAAAACAGGGGTCAGAAACCTATAACATTTGTCTGGGTTCCCATGTGGATATCATTTCGTAGTCTTCCCATGAAGGAAAACACTTCCCTTTTGACCCAGTTCAGTTACTTAGCTCTTCTCAAAACTTGAATCCCAGACCTTGTATAATGCACAGTGATTATGCGACTGGACCAGTGAGTCACAGGTCAAGTGTTCAAACCTCAGCCAGCAATGTCACTCATTTCTAGACTGGCAACTGAAAGATGAAAAACAATAACATTCATAAATTGA